AATCTCTAGAAATTCGGGATATGTAGTCAAAGTTTGCCATGCTGGAGAATCGGCTGGGTGTCTCATGATACCATCCTTAGTTCGTCTTCATCATGCCATTTCATAAGGACCGCAGTTTTAGAATTCATAAACAACCTCTGCAACCTTGGCTTCAACGGGAAGTACCAGAATCTTTTTACAGGCACCTTCTGATCTTTATTAGATTTTTTCGATGGAAGATCATTCTCATCCGGAGTACTTTCTGGTGTGGTCCACCTTGGCTCATCACAAGTCTCACACTTGGTCTTATATTCATTCACGCCCCAGTATACCATGCAGTCATTTTTGCATGCATCAATCTTCTCATAATTTAAACCCAAATCCTTCATTATCTTCCGAGTTTCATAATAATTATTAGGCAATTGAACATCCTCTGGAAACGATTCTCTTAATAAAGTAAGCAACAAAGTAAACGAACTATCACTCCAATTACCAAGACATTTTCCCTGGAGTAATCGAATAATGCCCAGAAAGTTTGGAAAACTTTTTACATCCAGGATAAAGTTCTTTTTCTGCATCTTTCATGAGCTTATAGAATTTCTCAGCTTCTTTACAAGGTCTTTCTACTTCCTCGATATTTGGAATTGTTTCTTCATCATTGATTTCATCATGCACGAAAAATGCATCATGCAACATTTCTTCCATGTTATCAGATGCATTCATATGATCATATTTATTTGATGGCACTTCGTTAGAGAATAACTCTCCATGAAGTAGCCATTTAGTGTACCCACTCAAAAACCCATTCCAGAGAAGATGTTCTGACACAACCGAACGTGTTTTGCATAGACCATTTTTACATTTTTTGCACGGGCATAAGATCATCCCATCATTTGAATTTGAGAAGGCTAAGTTCAAAAAATGTTGCAATCCTATTCGATATTCATTGCTTGACCTCGGTAGATCCATCCATGTTTTGTCCATCTAAGTATTTTTGGAATGAACCAGAAGTAATAAAAAACATAGAAGTAATACAATAATAAATTAGAAAGTAAGTGAGTAAGAAATAAAACTTTTAAACTTCAAATCTTACGAATAATTCACCCAAGCAACCAAGATCTCTCCAGAAATTGAAATCACCTCCGTTGAGTGACTTAGACCCCTGATCATCATGTTTAATTAGAAGAAGTTAGTTTTAGAGAACAGTCGAAATAAAAATATACATGCATTATCAAAAAATTAACACGATTTGAGTACTCGATTAGACCTCCCCGTACTAAATCATATTAATTTGATTTCACTTTACATATATCAAATTCTTATTATACCTACTGTACAAGTTCACAAGAATTACATTGAAAAGAGTCAGAGTTATAAGGAAACACCATATCTGGAACATGGAAAAAAAACATTTATGTCTGATTCCAACCATACACACCAACATCTAAGGTCATACAATTCAGTCAAAATCATTCTTTAGTAACTGAGCATTACTAGGGTCTAGAAGACGACCAATTCAGAACTCTTCCGAGAGTTCCTTTTTTTTATGACGTTTTAAGAGAAAAAGGAAACACTTAAAAAATTTGTAGAACTCGACAATTCAACCGGTATTTATTTTATCGATATACAATATACTATCAAGTTTATATTTTGGGTAAATTACACACACCCCCCTGAGGTATGCTTATAATGAACACATAAACGTTCTCAACCATGGCAAAACATCTCTAGAATAATTTTAAGAATAAATCTAAACAAAAATATAACTAACTACTCACTGAAATACATATTGTTACAAGAAAAAAAAAATTACTAGTTCAAACACTTCAACTCACCACAAATAAATTAAAAAAAATGGTTCAAACAATTATTTAAATCTGAACTATGTTCTGAAAACAGAAAAAAAAAAAAAAAAAAAAAAAAAAGGGGAAAAAAGGGGGGGGGCCAAGGGAGAACATAAATCAAAGTTATAGAGGGAAAGAGATATGCGAGAGAGGGGGTATTACCCAAGATTAATTATTCCACCAAAATCAACCCCACCAAAATCAAAATCCCACCAAAATCATAGTTTTCTTATGGGTTTGCCTAATTGGAGCAACATACGTAATCATAGGGTCATTTATATGTCAAATTTTATACATAAAACAAAAATTAAATAAATGGAACTAACCTCACTTCAATAACCAGATGATGAACTTTTTTACCTTTTTGAGAAGGCAAAGCACGATACTTCAATGAAAGATAATTATTTGGCAAAGGAGAAACACCACCATCCGTATTAGAAGAGGAACCGTCAATTAGGGTAGTATGAATAGGAATTGTAAATTGGGGGAAGGAGAAGGAAAAAGGGTTAGTAAAAAGGTTGAGATAATGGGTTGTGACTTATGCCGCCAAATATTTCGAGGGTAAGGGGAAATTTTATGAATTAATTTAGGGAATTTTCCGCGCAGGTTTTTTGTTTTCGTGACAATTAATAGAGAATATACGACGCCTCATGAAAGTCGTCTCAAAATAAGTAGTCTATTACAACGGATTCCTAAAAAGCGTCATATTTGTTATATTCCGAGAATTAAAAAAATAAAAGAAAATGTAATATTGAGAAAATGGCCCGCTTCTAATTTTATCCGTCTTTATAGTACACTTTTTGAGACGATAATTAGAGAGTGTCATATTAGGGCGTCATTGAAGCGTCACAACAGCCTGATTTTCTAGTAGTGATGAAAATACCCGCTACAGTTGTAGGACACGAATGCGCATCAAGAAACGTGCACAAAAACACTCGCTACAAAAGATACGCACATAAGTAAAAGTACAAAATCATGCACAAAATTACTCACGCAAAACTGCATTCGCAAAAAGGATCATGAAAACACAACCTACAATCCTTGGACATTAATACAAATCAACAAACATGCACAAACACACTCGCTCAAATGGACATGCACAAACATACATGTAAAAAAACATGCGCATAAGTGCATTCCCAACAACGTTCTTAAAAACACGAAGTACAACACTAGGACTTTAATGCGCATAACCAAACAACAGCAAAAACACAGGATACAAAAGATACGGTGGAGTGTAGAAATAACACTCAACGTTTACGTTTACGTGGATTTTTTTATGGATTAATTTATATTTCTGTTTTAATTGGTGGATTTAGTATTCTATAGGTACAAATTGATAATTAGGTGTCCATGAAGCAAAAATGATCAAAGAGTAAGAAAAGAGTTGCAATTAGGAAAATAAAATCAAAATCGAATAGAGGATCCCTCAACATCTTCGGTAGTGCCCACGAAGTCGAGCATAACTTTCTCATCCGGACTCCAAATCGACTGGTTCCGGCGGCATTAGAAAGCTATTTCCGCTGGCTACAATTCCTGTCTAATGTCAAATTTCCAAATTCGGACTCGAACATGGTCAAAATTGGATTCCAACAGCGATCATGAAAATACCCGCTACAGTTGGAGGACACGAATGCGCATCAAGAAACGTGCACAAAAACACTCGCCAAAAAAGATACGCACATAAGTAAAAGTACAAAATCATGCACAAAATTACTCACGCAAAACAGCATTCGCAAAAAGGATCATAAAAACACAAACTACAATCCTAGGACATTAATACAAATCAACAAACATGCACAAACACACTCGCTCAAATGGACATGCGCAAACATACATGTAAAAAAACATGCGCAGAAGTGCATTCCCAACAACGTTCTTAAAAACACGAAGTACAACACTAGGACTTTAATGCGCATAACCAAACAACAGCAAAAACACTAGATACAAAAGATACGGTGGAGTGTAGAAATAACACTCAACGTTTACGTTTACGTGGATTTTTTTATGGATTAATTTATATTTCTGTTTTAATTGGTGGATTTAGTATTCTATAGTACAAATTGGTAATTAGGTGTCCATGAAGCATAAATGATCAAAGAGTAAGAAAAGAGTTGCAATTAGGAAAATAAAATCAAAATAGAAGAGAGGATCCCTCAACATCTTCGGTAGTGCCCACGAAGTCGAGCATAACTTTCTCATCCGGACTCCAAATCGATTGGTTCCGGCGGCATTAGAAAACTATTTCCGCTGGCTACAATTCCTGTCTAATGTCAAATTTCCGAATTCGGAATCGAACATGGTCAAAATTTGATTCCAACAGCGATCATGAAAATACCCGCTACAGTTGGAGGACACGAATGCGCATCAAGAAACGTGCACAAAAACACTCGCTACAAAAGATACGCATATAAGTAAAAGTACAAAATCATGCACAAAATTACTCACACAAAACTGCATTCGCAAAAAGGATCATGAAAACACAAACTACAATCCTAGGACATTAATACAAATCAACAAACATGCACAAACACACTCGCTCAAATGGACATGCACAAACATACATGTAAATAAACATGCGCAGAAGTGCATTCCCAACAACGTTCTTAAAAACACGAAGTACAACACTAGGACTCTAATGCGCATAACCAAACAACAGCAAAAACACAAGATACAAAAGATACGGTGGAGTGTAGAAAAACACTCAACGTTTACGTTTACGTGGATTTTTTTATGGATTACTTTATATTTCTATTTTGATTGGTGGATTTAGTATTCTATAGGTACAAATTGATAATTAGGTGTCCATGAAGCAAAAATGATCAAAGAGTAAGAAAAGAGTTGCAATTAGGAAAATAAAATCAAAATAGAAGAGAGGATCCCTCAACATCTTCGGTAGTGCCCACGAAGTCGAGCATAACTTTCTCATCCGGACTCCAAATCGACTGGTTCCGGCGGCATTAGAAAGCTATTTCAGCTGGCTACAATTCCTGTCTAATGTCAAATTTCCAAATTCGGACTCGAACATGGTCAAAATTGGATTCCAAAAGCGA